CTTGTACTCCTTTTCAAAAATTATCAAAATAAACCTTTTCTTCCCTGTAAGTTATAATCTTTAGCTGTCATTTTAGCTGTTTTATGTAACGCTTATTTCCTGCCTGCTCAATTACTTTAGGAAGAAAACACAGTAGAACATACTTTAGCAAACTGTGAGCATGTTCTATATATAGGTTACTTTTAAATGTCAAGGACCAAATACTTTCAATGATCTAAAGAATTTCTTAAACACTGTAGTAAGCACATATTATGTTAAAATGTTCAATATTAAAGGTGTGATATGGAATGAGTATAAATACTGTTAAAATTGTTGAAATACTAATCTTTTTCATCATCTGTTCTCTATGTCTGGCTGATTTTTATTTCATTTTGAGCTCCAGAGATTCATCCAAGTTGTCTTTGGCATTCTTCAACTTAACAAGTTCTGATCTTTTGCTTTGTGTCTGCCTTTTGCTGACTGTGTCCTGTGTTAGCATTTTTAAAAATTTCTCCCTTGTGGCTTGACAATATTTAATTAGTATCTTTGGCAGTTTCTTTCATTTTGATTTTTTTCTAGGGCATAGCATTATGTAGCAAACTAAACAACATCTCACTGAAAGACAAATCCATCTTTATCAATTAATAGCCTTGATTTTTGTAGTGTGTCTGCATGTCTGTGGTGTCATTTCTAGAAAAACCATCCTCATTGAAATGTTTCAACATTTCTTACTGATCAGGGTTTTCCTCCACTTGCTGTTTCTCACTAGTGGTGTCCGCATGCAATTTTGATCAACTTTATCGGACCATTGGTGGCAGTAGGACTTTGTAGATTGAAGTTGGCTGTAAAGGCAAAGTCTCAGAAAGGCCAGGGACTAAATGATAGCATGAGTAGCCCAAGCCAAACAAAACATTTTCTGTCTACGATAAATCAAAAGGCTGAGTACTCCAGAGTAAGATTCACTTTTTAGGATGTGAATACTACCTAACAAGCATGCTGTGAGACCAGATATTTGAGCTTAAGTTTTCAAGATGGTTTTGAGAACTGTGTCCACAGATTTGGATAGGCTAATAAACTGCTTTATTGTTTTGGCTTAATTTTTAACAACTGCTGAGTTTCTTTCATCCTAGAAGGATTAAACATAAAATGGCAACTCTCCAAATTTCCAACCTTGGGCAAAATTCCCTGTATGATCTTTTTAAATTAAATTTTTCGTTTATTTCTTGCTATCTGGAAAAGGAAATAATGAATATGGTGTATTTAAGGCATTAAGCTCATCTCATACATAAGAAAAACTCAGGCCCTTTTGTGTATATAAGTTCAGAAGTGTTCTATCTGCCTCCCACTTTCATGCTGTTTACTTGGTATGTCAGAATGAAATTCACCCAAGATGCTCAAGATTGACCTAGTGCTGCCCTTTCTGAAGTCAGAGGTACTTTCACCACCGAGAGACAGCATTAGGAACAGATATTATCAAATGCAGAGCCGTTTAGAAGCCATTACAAAAACCTTTTCTCGCTTTGTCTGTACCCTAAAATGGTGAGCCTGGTAGCAGAAGCAGGCTTAGCAAGGCTGTTTTTATTCTGCTCTGTGGATTGCTGCAGCAGCAGCAGCACAGAGCACAAAGAGCTGCAGCAGGCAGGCAGGAAGGGCTGGTGCGTGCTGAGCTACTGCCCAGCGCTGCAGCCAGCACTGCTGTGCCTGCCCTGTGCCTATCGTGTCCTCTGCCAAGTACTATGAATTAAATTCCCATGTTCAAACTGGTATATTGTATGTATCTGTAGTACAGACACGTCATGATTTTGCTGGATAAACGTAAATTACTGTTGAAAGAATTCTAGGATTAATTTGTTTATAATAGAGAGTAAAAAGCAGCAAGAATATGGTCTTTATTTGCTGCTGACTATTTATGGAACTTGAAAGAAATGAGACATATTAGAGTGATGCACATACTGTGCTCTGTTTGCAGGACTGGTACAAAAAAAGAATAAACCCAAAACCTTTTAATAAGCTTTTGCTGTTATCTTAGAAATTAAATGCTTAAGAGAACTGAATGAATGTGAGGATCTTACCTATTTTATCAATGATTAGGAGCATATTGGGTTTATATTAATTTAATATGGGGAAAGTCTCTGCAAACCTCAATCTTTGTTCTTGTTTTTGTACATTGTGACTGAGCAATCATATAGTCTTGCTTGCCACTAAAGTCATTAGCATATTTTTCACCTTTCTTTTTACAAAAAATTAGCCAGACACCAAACACATCAAATCTCCATCTGACTCAGAATTTAAACTTTCCTTCCTGAGGCAAAACTCCCTTTTAGTTTTGAAAATGAATTTCATAAATTGCTTTTCTGTTAACAATTAAGACCTAAAATGAACAATCAAGAACTTAAAATTAAATAAATATGTAGTTCATTAACTATGGTTCTAATTGGATGCAATATTTTTTAAAAGCTTTATAAGAAGTTTCGATATAATCTGGTAAGTACTTTGGATAAGTTGATTATATGGTTTAGAATTGTCTAGAATATTGAATCTTAATCACTACACCATTGTGGAAGAAGATTTTAAGTCTGATATGTCCAAAGCCAGAGGACAGTTGCATTTCAGATTCAGAATCCCACACAACTATTTCTAGAAAAGTTTGCCCCAAAATAGCAGTGATTCATTAAGAATGGGTTATTTTAATGACTAAGTCTAAAAATTTCCTCTTATAAAACAAACAGATTGATGTAAACTTGAAAAATACATCAGGGAGAAATTCCAAAATACTGTCAGTAGTGAAATATCCATAATCTCTTTTCTCCATCTACATTAAATCAACAAATTAAATTAAAAAACCTCACCATTCAGATACAATCTATTATTTCCCTTTTTAGAAATGGTCATTGTTCTATGTATAAATTTATTTTGTATTTCATATGCTTTATTGCACATATGAACTTAATTTTGTTTGAGGGTTGAGTTTTCCATGATCCAACTAGTTAAAAATAAAGAAAATAAAACTCTTAAATGTTATCTGACTGGAGTATAAAACACCTTGTCTATTTTGAGGACCACTGTGGTTTCCATGGTAACAGAAGGGAAACCTATCAGCATGCAGTGCTTAATATTCCTTTCTATTTCTGTTTAGTATTTATTTAATAGTAGGACACTTAAAATTATTCATAGGTCTGTAAAACATAGATGCCAAACTGCTAGTATTTGCACTTTTAATTACTATGAAAATCAGAACTGTAACTGTAAATTGCAGATCAAGGTGATAATCTTCAATATATTGGCATCTAAGCCACTGTAATTGGTATTTCTTATTGAACCGACACTTCAGTTTTGATGAAAGAAAAGAAGTATTTAGTTTATAATTTTACCAGTGCCATTCAGTCACTGAAATCATGTAGGATTACTTTGAGCATGGGTAGATCCCTTGTATGCACAGTATTTTATATTCTATTACACAAAATTAGATATCAGGTGAATTTCATATGATGAGACATATAATCTCTCTTCAAGCTGGCCAGTGATACAGAATATACTATACCAGTAGACTAAACCTTGAAAAATGAAGAAGTTTGAATTAAATAAGAGCAAAATTATTAGAGTTCTTTCCAGAAGGAGGAACTGAGTCAACTCAGCTTATTTGATACAAAGAGAAAAAAGACTCTCAGAAAACACTATTTTTAAATACATAAAAGGCAGCAGCAAAATTGAAGGGAACTGTTCATCACAGTGAGGTAAGGTCTGGCAAGAATTAAAGGGTTCAGATTGCAGCAAAGAAGTTTTCTACTGCATATTATTGGAAACTTGCTAAGGGTGAAGATAATAAAGAACTGAAATAAATTGCCTATAAGGTTTTGGACTTTCCACTTTGGAAACCTTCAAGAGGTGATTGCTTGTAGATCTGTGAAGTTGATTTCTGCCTTCAAGCACAGTTAAAGACAAAATAAACACTTTCATTCCAACCTGCAATGCTTCCTGATCAATTAACTGTGAGACTTCTAAATATAGTTAATATATTTCATCAGTAAATGCTTCCATTTAATCTAAAAGAAAACAAAGGAACAATATTAAGGAAAGGAATAAAGGAGAGAATGGTACTGAAAATACAATTTATCTCAGAGATGTTTTTATACTAGTGCTACAACAAAAAGTGTTAAAGTTTTGCCAGAGAATTTTATGAAAGGTAGTACTAGTACAAGAGAAAGTGTAGTTCTGAAATGCCTACTTCTGGCAATACATACTGTAATTCAAAATAATAATAGGATATAAAATAAAATGAATAATTTTCAAAATCAAATTTATCAGACAGCAAGTCTACTGTTTTATTTAGATGTGTGTCCTAGTTTTGTTGCTGTTACACATTGTAAGTTTTCAGCAATACGTATGTCTAGGTACCTCAGTGCAAACAATCCTCTCTCCTCCACAAGATCTTTGTATATAAATAGGTTCAATGTGTGTCACAAATTATTCACAGATTGCCCTGGAAGGCACCATCTCTTGATTTTAGAATATACTTCAGAATCTTTACAGCAGACATTGCAGATCTTGAGAATGAGTCACATTTCAGCTGTCATTTCATAGTAATTGACTTTTCATCAGCTTCTGAAACCTATAAAGAGATTTCTCTGTGACTGTTTTTCTCTGTGAATATTTAGAACAGCATGTTAGGATCTGAACATGTATATGATCTCCAAATCAAAGTTACCTCCCCATAAACTCAGCTAAGTTAGGTAATAATGCGCCTTTTAGCTAGTTCTGTTCTGCTTAATAATCCACAAACAACTTGTGATAACATTTATAGTCTGAGCAATGAATAATAAAACAGCGGATGGAAATAAATGTCAGTGCAAGCAGATTAATACACATCTAGGTAACAAACTGTAACTGTCAACTGCTTTTTAGTGCAGAGCTATTCAGCATTGTTACTAGTTCTAGTTTTGTGTGATTCATCAGGAAACTCATTCCCCTGGGCTTGCTTTTGTGCCTGGTCTTCAAATGGTCTTTATCTCTTCTCATGACAGATTCTCTATTGCCTTGATACATCACAGACATGAGAGAGCAGAGCCAATGGAGTAAAAGAAGAGAATGAATGAAGAATATAAAGGTACGGAAAGAATTTTACTTTGGACACTTATTCCCATAGTTTCAGCATTCATTGTTTTGTGACTCAGGTGATGTGACACACATTGATTGAACATGACACCTTCTTTTTTCCATCTCAAACATCATGAGTGGTTAAAGTTTTCCTTTGCTAGCCACTGATTCCTTCTGGTTTGACTCCTTCCTCTAGTTTCTCAAATCTTCTACAATATGCTTTTTGAAACTGTGTGAAAGTCAAGACGTGTCCAGTGGAAGTAGTTAGAAAAGAGGGACTAGGTTCCTAGAGAACAACTGGTATTACTATTAAAAAATGAGGTAAAGAAGGCATTAAGTACATTTTCCTTATCCTTTGTCACTCTGTTTCACTCTACATCCAATAAAAGGCGGAGATTCTCCTTAACCCTCCTTTTGTTCGTAAAGTATTTATAGAAACATTTTTATTGTCTTTTATGGCAGTAGCCAGATTAAGTTCTAGTTGGACTTCATCCCTTCTAATTTTCTCTCTGCATAACCTCATATCCTTGTAGTCCTCCTGAGATGCCTACCCCTTCTTTCAAAGGTCATAAACTGTCCCTTTTTTTTTTACCTGAGTACCAGTCAAAGCTGTGTGTTCAGCCAGGCTTTTCTTTTTTCACACCATCTCATGTTTCAGCACACCTTGGCTCTGCACTGTTAATATTTCCTTCTCGAAGAATGTTCAGCCTTCCTGGATTTCTTTGCCCTTTGGGATGGCCTCCCAAGGGACTTTCTAAAGCAGTCTACTTAACAGGTGAAAGTCTGCACTCTGGAAGTCTAAGGTGGCAGTGCTGCTGACAACCCCACCCCACCCCCCTTTTACTTCTTGAGGGTTGAAAACTCCATCGTTTCATGACTGGTAAGCTTAAGACAGCCTCCAGTCTTTTGTTCACAAAAAGCAGGTTCAATGGGACACCTTCCCTAGTTGGCTCACTCACCAGCTGTGTCAGGAAGTTCTCTTGACTGTTTTCTCTCTTCATTTTGCACTTCCAGCAGACATCTGGTAATTTGAAGTCCCCCATGAGAACAAGGGCTTGAGATTGTGAGACTTCTCCCAGCTGCTTCATCTACCTCTTTGTCCTGGTTGGGTATATTGCTGAACACTTAGCTAGATACTGCTGAAAACTTACAATATTTAACAGACTCCCACCAGGATATCTCCATGTTGGCCCATAAGTACTCAACCGTATAATCATCACCATCATTAGCTCTAGACAGTCAAAACACTCCCTAATATACAGGGCCAACCACCGCTTCCTAAAAAATAAAGTTTGCAGTGGAAAACCGGAAATGATAGCTTGAGTCTAAATTCAGAATTGTAAGCGTCTGATTGTATTATGCTTTCATTGGAAGTGACTAGATTCAGGGTTTGAGAACAGAAAAGTCTCTGTTATCAATAGGCTTTAAAAGTGATTTCAAAATTATTTAAAACTTTATGCTGGGTGTTTTTTTTTCTTCTTAAAAATCAGTATTTCTTCTTGTTTTGCTAAGTTTGTTTTGAGAACCAGAAAGGTGATTCTGCTGTGTGAATCTTGTCTTGAGTAATGTTGTCTGCAGAGTACCTGAGGAATGTTCTTCTAAATTATTGGGGTGCTAAGCAGTAAGAGGAGTGCACAGAACTTATACATCATTTTTTTCTGTTATCTTCGTCATGTCAGAACCTAGAAAAAGGATAGAAAAAGGATAAATAACCAAAGTATTGGTTTGTGCTAGACAAGGGTAATCTCCAGATAATGTTCAAATATACATATTGCAAGAACATGAGTTTCGAAGTATTAATTGAAATTTTTTACATTGAAAGCTTGTTTACATGTGTTTAGTTTTTAATTGATAAATAATGCTACACAGCATATATTAAGAACTATGAATAATAAAGACTAGAACAGATTACATAGAATTTTTTATTGAATTCATGTAGAACATAATCTAATTTATACAGAAGAAGTTCCTTCACTCTGTATACTCTTAATAAATATAACCATGTATAGTGAAATAATTACTGGCAATTAGTTGTTAAAAATGTACTATATTGAGTTTGATTCCTATTTTCTTGATAACTGTAGATTGTAGTACTCCAGTTGTGCTATTTTAGAGTGTAGTCAGATAAGCCTATTTTCATTTAATGATGAAAAACATTTAATTTTTCAATTATAGAAAAAAAAAACATATATAGTGCACAAGTACCCTGAGTATATTTTGCTTCAGTTTAGTGGTTGTGATAACTGCTTATCACAATCCTTGAGCTTTCCTTCTTTGAATATAGGTAAAACTTAAATGTACTGGTTGCTGATACATTATAGTACATACAGTAACACTGAATTTAGTCCATTTGTTTCTCAGTATTTCTCCAACTCCCCCTCACTCCTTACTTATCTCCAACACCAAACCTCTCTGAAATTTCAGAGTGGATTTTCTGTGTTGCACAGTTCAGGACAGCTAGCAATCAGGCATAATAGTGCCCTTCTGATCCGATAAAATGATTTGCAACTCTGAAAGTGAATTCTTCTGTTGTTAAAACATATTAGATAACAGATTTTGTGGCTTTGTGTCATGAACTACTTTGAAGCAGACCACAATGAGTCCATTCAGAGGTCTCTAGGTTTATCTTCAGGCAATGATGTGTTTATTATTTTAGCTCAGTGTTGTACATTACTTTATCTACTGAATTTTAGCAGTCGCTTTATTGCCAAGACAACCAGTTACAGTAAAGGAAGATGCAGAGCTCCTTGCAGTTATTCTTTGTCTTAACTATCTTGAATAACTTTGTATCATTGGCTACTTTGTGAACACACTATTCACTGTCATTTCTAGAGTGATTCAATCCATGAATATTCATTAACAAGTATGCTGAACCACATAGACCCCCTCAACCTTCCAAAGGGTACTTCTCTCCACCGAGAAAATTATCTTAATTTCTCTCTCCTGTCTTTCCCTCAGTTGTTTATTCAAGTGAGAAACACAGACCTGGTTTGACATGAGTCACTGAAGAAAGATACATAATAGTATAGAAGCATTGTTACTGTGGTAGAGTTTATTATCCTGCCCTCTCATTATTCAGAGAAAGGATTGCCTATTATGAAAATTTCATAATGCCAAGACTATATTGAGAAAACAGAGAAATTCTCCATTAATGTTTTCAGTTCAGTGCAGCTTAGTGTGATCTCAGTAACGTGAAAAATGTCAAAATATTTAGAAGAGATAAGTAGATGGCAGTAGTTATTCATGAAACAGTCTTGACTTATCTGATATCAAAAGATTTAGCAACAGTTCTCCCTAGAATAATACGTGCCAGGACAACTAAATTATTTGTTCTTCTTTAATATTCAAGAATAGCTCAGAGATGTGTCTATAACGAATTCTACTTTGTTAAAGGTATACTCTTTTGTATATCACTGAAAATGAAGTGAAATAAGAAACCTCCAGAACTGAGACAAATGCAGGTACTGTCACGTTCATTCAAGTGAGATGAAATGGCCAGATGTGGTAAACAAATTAACACGCCATTAATGCAAGAAAAACATGTGTGGGCTGAGGCATGATAAAACTGTTTATCTGTCAGTTTGATAGTTAATTTTTTTGTTGTTGTTGTTCTAAATCCAGTAAAGTGTTGTTTTGCTTTCTGAGGCTGCTAGGAATACCCTAGCTTTATTGTGGAATAATTTGTTATTTTTTACATGTTGCTCCTTGAGTGTTAATGTTAAACAAAAATGCTTCAAATCTGTGAGTGTAGATGCTTAAAACGTAGTTTGAATTCATATAGCTTACTAAATCAAGAATTAATTCTCAGCATTGAAACTCAGCATTAAAACCATGGTAAAAATAAGGGCAAGCGATTTTGTTACAATTATAGACAGAATGTTAAAAAAAAGAAAGCTGAAGGACTACTTTTGCAAGCATACAAGTAAAATTTGCCGTGTAAATAGCTAGGAATATAAGGAATCATTCATAGAGCAGCAGGGAAAGCTCTTGATAGTAGAAGGTAGATAATTGTAACAATCTGTCCAAATATTTCACTATAAATTAACTGAAAATGAGTTATAATGAAGAAAGACTAGGATCACAGTTCATTGAACAGTTCAATGTAATTGAGTTCCTGAAGTGATATGATATGGATTAATGGCTCAACTTTATTGAGTCAAAGGATTAATTGTACTTTTAAGGTGAAATTTCATAAGGTTGCTGAGCCAATTTAACAGAGGGTGGGGTGGGGAGAATGAGTGCCACTTTTAGCAGCAACAATTGCCTATTATCTGGTGAGGCCTCCCTTTCTAAAACTTTAGCTATAATGTCTTAAAGCTTCTAGAGAGAAATGGGGAAACTGTCAGGAGAAAAATCCCCACAAGATTCTGAGCAGGTACTAAAAATAAAAAAGGAGAATTTGTTTAGCCTAAGTGGGCACGACAGCAGTTGAAAACCTCACTTATTCCTTACTTAATTCTTTTGGATGGTATGCAGATTGAAACACATGAAAGTGTTGTTATGTTTATATATACAAATGTATTTGTAAGTAATTTAATTATGCAGAAAAAATATATATGCAGTATCTTTCTTAAGATTACTTTATGACATTTGTAAGACAAATGTGTTTTGGGGTTCTTTCATATATTTGACTCCTTATTTGGATAGATAAGCATTAGAGATTTTTAATAATGGAGGAGAATAAAAAAGAACACAAGTTACTTTGACCAACAACCCCTAGTTATCACACTGAAGACCAAAACTTAGGTCTTCTGTCACCCAAGTGCTGTGTGCTACACTAGTTTACCTCTAGATAAATTTAATAGAACTAGTCCTGTTGGTATGACTAATGCAGCAGCCACAGAGTTCTGATTTTTTAAAGAAAGAAATGTAACCTTATGCAGTACTACAGTTGTTGATGATGGGAACAGAAGTATAGCTCACAAATGTGAATCACAGCTTTTGGCATTGTAAAATGCATATCGAGGTGAGGAATTAAAAATTTACAGTGGTGTTCACAGATAGTTTTTA